CCCCCTCAGTGTGTAAACATCTGTTGGCCCCCTCAGTGTGTAGCCCTCTGTGGGCCTCTCAGTGTGTAAACATCTGTTTGCCCCCTCGGTGTGTAGCCCTCTGTGGGCCCCTCAGTGTGTAAACCTTTGTTGGCCCCCTCAGAGTGTATCCCTCTGTGGGCCCTTGTGCTGACCCCGCTATAAGTGGCCCTGCCGTGATGGACCTGCTGTTCCACCTGCAGGTCGTGGACATGTTGAAACGGCAGCTGTTGCTTCAGAGAGACAGGTTTTGAAAGTTCTTCTCGATGTCCTGTGGTCAGGTAGTTCTGCAAAAACCTGGCCCCGTTTACGGGATGAGGCCAAACCTGTTAGCTAACAGGCACCAAACAGGAAGTTACAGGATTTTCAAAGAAAGTTCGTTAACTCCAGCGGGCGACGGTTGTGTACCAGCGTGTGACGTCACTGAGGAGAAGACCGTTACCCAACAGCTGACCCCTGCAGCGGGGCCACATGGGATCAATCAGATTCTTTACAGATTTTTATGTCTCAGAATAAATCACTCGTTACATCAGACTCATGCTAACCCTCAGACTCAGAGGATCGCTGGCTTTATTGAGGATCCTACGCCGTAAATCCTTGTTATTACTTTGGTTCCATGAATCAGACATGAAGGTTCCTCAGTTTCTGTCTGAAGACATCTGAGCTTCTCTCTGCATGAAAACTTTTACACGTGCAGCGTGCACGCCTCGTTCTGTCTGCAGGAACACAAGCCGAGAGCTTTTCAGAGGCTTAACTCCACCAAAGAATGCTCAAAGATCTTAAAACTCTTATTTCTCGTACACAGTGCCAGCCGACCGCTGAGAACTGCTGGAAGGCGGCGGGACCGCGTGTGGTCTGGCACCACCCGGGGCCCCCGCGGCGTGACGTCACAGTTCTAAACTGAGAATTAAACTCCAAAGTTCACCTCTGCAGGGTTTCTGTGTTAGAAGTGAATCTGGTGAAACTGGGCCAGAACATCCTGAATAAAGAGGTTATTTTAGGTAAAGGGCACACGAGGACGGTTTAGCTGCAGGGCCAGCAGCCAGGGGCCTCTGGTGATGTGGGGCCCTCTGCTCTGGAGGAACCAGGAGCCTTAAGATCTTTGCTGTAAAACTGATTCAGAAGGTGCAGAGGAAGTCCTGCTGAACTTTGCCCAGTCACAGTTGTCAACTCCAAGGATTATTCCTGCCAGGCAGAGTTTGTTTTTACAAAAAACAAATAAATAAAAATAAACAATTGAATGTTTTGATGTCGATTTATTACATAAACATATAAGCAAATAAAGTTATTGCTTTTAACAAAGAGGTTTTCTACTGTAACCCTTTCAAGCAAACAGTAAAATCCTTTTCTGTCCTGAAACGACCTTTGACCTTTAATCTGTTTGCTGAGCTCTTTAGAGTCTATGAAGCTCAGCCCTCTGATTATTGCATGGTCTGACCTTCGGGGTGAATCTGCTGGGAGGTCCAGTCCTGGGAAGATTTTTCCACATGTGAATAATCTTTCTCTCTGCAGAACAATGGACTGCAGGTAGTTTGGAAATAACTTTTGACCCTTCCAGGGGTCAACAGCAGCTGCTTCTCTGAGGTAATTGCTGATGCCTTTCTCCCTTGGCATTGTGTTAATCCTCACAGTGATCCTCCACTGATTGACATGTATTGTGTTCCTCCTCCTGGGTGAACTGGCTCCTGTAGTGACACCAGTACCTGCTCTGTGTGGTTCCTTGTTTAAATACAGATGGTTTATTTGGTTCGGTCTAATTAGTTCATCTTCTCTGAGATCATCACTTGTTCGTTCTCAGTGTCTGCTCTGCTGCAGCATGAAACCGGCCTCAGGCATCAATAAGACAGCTCCGTCAGTGTGAACAGTCGGCACATTAACGACCCGGGACACCTGCACAGAAATACCTGGAGTTCCCTTTAAACACTTTTTCAGTTTTTGAATCGTTGACGTGTTTGAGGACGAGATGGAGAGAAGATGTTTGAACTAAATAACCTTCAAGACATTCTCACCCTGGAGGAGTTTGTTTCCTCTGACACTTCTGTTGAACACACACCCACACACACACACACACACGCACGCACACCCACACACACACACACACACACACACACACACACACACACACACACAC